TTATTGCACTGTAGTAGGTTTGGGGGATTTATTGGAAATTTGTTTATGTATTTATTATATATACACTAGAGGCCCGGTGCATGAAATTTGTGCACTGGGGGGGGGGGGAGGGGTGGCGGGTCTCTCAGTCTGGCCTGTGCCCTCTCACAGTCTGGGAGCCCTCAGGGGATGTCCAACTGCTGGTTTAGGCCCACTCCCCACAGGGCGTGGGCCTAAGCTGGCAGTTGGACATCCTTAGCACTGCCATGCCTCTGCGCTCTCCAGCAGTGAGCCTGGCTTCTGGCTGAGCAGCACTCCCCCTATGGGAGTGCACTGACCACCAGGGGGCAGCTCCTGCATTGAGCGAATGCCCCCTGGTGGTCAGTGCACATCATAGTGACCAGTCATTCCACCGTTGGGACGAAACTGGCTCTCCAACATCCCCCAAGGGGTCCCAGATTGCGAGAGGGCGCAGGCCAGGTTGAGAGACCCCACCGGTGAATGATCTGGGCCAGGATGCAGGAGGTTGGCCAGCCGGGGAGGGATTGCTGGAGGGCTCCAGGGTGTGTCTGGCCCTTCTCACTCAGACCCAATCAGCCAGACCCAGCAGCAAACTAACCTACCAGTTGGAGCGTCTGCCCACTGGTGGTCAGTGCACATCATAGCGAGCAGCTGAGTGGCCTGAGCATATCATTTACATATTACGTTTTGATTGGTTGAACAGCTGACTGAATGACCAGACACTTAGCATATTAGGCTTTTATTATATAGGATGGGGAATTTTTGTAAATGAGTCACAAGTATCTGAAAATATTTTTTTATGTATTATCTATTGCATACATTAAATCAAACTTACTAACTGTGTTATCTAAGTCCTTTTGAGTGTCTGTCCAATTCTGACAAAGATGTGCTAGAACCTCCCAGTATAATTGTGGTTTCATTAAGTTCTCACAGTCTAGCAGTTTGTACTTTTCTATACCTAACTTTCAATGTATAAAGTTTCATTAATATTATATATTTTCATTCATTATAACTTTAATAACTATAAATTATTTTATTTTTTCCAATCTAGTTTTCTGCCTTGAATTCTACTTACTTTGATAATGATCTTACCATCTTTTTTTGCTTCTATTTTTTCTAATATTCTCTCTCTTTTTTGTACATGCATTTCTTAATATATCTTTATTAATATCACTTTTTTTTACATTTTGTATCAGTTTGGTTTACATGTTTCTCTTAGAGACAGCATAATACTAGATTTGACCTTTTTAGTCAATCTGAAATGTGTTTTTCTTTAAGTAGAGAATTTAACTTAGTCACACTATTGTCACTTTTATGTTTAATCTCATCCCTGACACTTTACCTTCTGATTTGTATTTATTAATATTTCTTATTTTCCCTTTTATAAATTTTACTGTATAAAATTTTGGTTCCTTTTATTTTCCAATAGTTTCAAAGTCCTATGTCCTATTTCTATCCTACATTTGTTATCTCTAAATTTTAACAAATAAAGTATGCATATCAATAAACACTACCTCAAAATAAAGAATTTAATTTGCTTTTTTATTGTTTTCTTCCTACTTCCCAGATATTTATATTTATGTTTTTCTTCTTTTTATAGTCTTTCCATAATACTTGCATTAAATTTTCAAATCCCATTGCTAACACATTATTTGGATTAAACTGTCTCTTATAGCCTCTATCTTCCCTTTACCTGAATTTATTTTTCTCTGACTCATTTTCTGTTTTGTTTCTCTTCAGCCCCTCTGCCCTAATCTTTCAGAAAGGGCATCCAGGTATTTTGACTTCTGTGTTCTAGAAGTGGCTGTCTCTCTCTCATACACATCCATTGGGCAGGTATACATTTCCAGGTCACCATCATTTCCCCTAGGAAAGGTAGGTGAGTGATGTCTGCCAGTCTCCAGGGGTGGGGTCTGCCTGGAGTGGGGACCAAGTTGGACCACACTGAGGAGGACTTTCTTTTAAGGTGAGTGGGCTGAGAACAGAGCAGCAGCCCAGAGTAAAAGGCGTGTGGCTGTAAGGACTCCCGGCCTCATCTCATCCTCACCCGGTATGCAGCCTGGTCCTAGTGGGAACCCAAAGAGAGCACTATGGACAGCAACTGGGCTGAGGCGCTCTGGAGGCCATCAGATTGCTCCCTGCTTATGGTTCCCTGGCCTCCTGCTCAGAGACCTTTGGTGCACGTGTGTCTTCAGCAAAGTTGTTGATGTCAAAAGGATTATGTCAACAGGAAGAAGGAAAGGAGTTGCCACCGTGGGTGTTGAGGGCCTTAGGGGATCTCATCACCCTTTAGATTTCTTTCAATTCTCCATATCTGTGGTGTTCAGAGTTAGCTGGGGCTCTCACACACCCCATTTTATTCTTCATCCTCACTGAGACTTGCTAGGGAACGCACACAAAATGAACCCACCACTCTCACCGTGGGGAAGTGACTCAGTTTCCAGCTCACGTCCTTTCAATTTGCCAACTGAGACTGTTCCACCACCCACCCCTGTTCACTGTCCCTGTTGCCGTAAGTATTGGGTCCTTTCAAGTTTTGTAGGCAAGGCCCCTGCCCTCACTTTCAGGGAATCCTCTTCACTTATAGTGCATGCTCACCTGTGACCTGATCAGCTGTCCCTTCAACCTGACCTTGTCTGCTTCATTTCTTCCAGAAATTTCTACAAAAGCCTTCTCTTCTCATGGCAGCCTCCTCTGTTTGTCAGAGCTGCTCTAGATTTTTTCTAACTCTTGTTCTCTTGGGAGGTAGAATACGTAACTTGCTATCCTGGAACTGCACCATGCAGGTCTGGAAGGAGTGTGGCCGTCAGAGGGAGCCAGGGAGTGGGGACTGGCTGGGAGAATAGGATGTGCAGAGGTAAGCAGCATGAAAGTGCATGGCATGTCGGGGAGAGACAAGGATAGCTGGGCCATCGCCATCATTTGCAGGTTGGAGGGGTGTGTCCTGGGTCAGGGTCAGGGTCAGGAGATGCTGGTAGACAGGGGTCAGACCGTGAAGAGCCAGCATACCATGCCCAGAGTTTGAACTTTGTTCTGCAGACTCTGGGAGTTGTTGAAATGGAAGTGAGGTAATTGAGTATGTGTTTTAGAAACACCATAGTGGTGACAGGGTGGAGGAGGGTGGGTGGTGCTAAGAAACAAGAGGTGAGGAGACAGCGACGACTATACCAGAGGATGCAGGAGCTGCTGAGCACCTGAACGAGGGCCATGCATGGCTCAGGACACTGAGAGGAGGAGACCGGTACCAGGGATAATAGGAAGCTATAGTCACTTGAACTTGAAGACCTATTGGAAAAGAGGGAGGGGGGATAAGGCAGAGGGTAGAGTCAGGGATGACTCAGAGGTTTCTGGTTTGGGCAACTCAGAGGATTAACTTGCGACTCATCAAGATAGAGTATATAGGAGGAGAAGCAGGTTTCGGGGGAAGATAATGAGTTCCGTCTTGAACTTAACTGCTTTTATGGTGCCTGCAAAATGACAAAGTGTTGATGTCAATAGTTTGGGCCAATAATTGGGTCTGGGGCTCAAGAAAGAAGATGCATCTGGGAGTCCGTGTACATGGTAGTTAATGCCAACACGGATGAGGTTGGCCTCAGCGTATGTAGAGGGAGCAAGGCTGGCTTCGTAGACGCGTGACCACACAGGAAGAAAAGCCCTACGCTTGGCTTAATGCACTGCTTCACCATTTAGAATTTCTCAATAATTTTTAAAGGGGGCACCCCACGTTTTTGTTTTGCACCGGGCCCTGCAAATTGCGTGGCAGTTTTTGAGAGTAAGAAGGACAATGACAAAACTCTCTGAAGCTTCAAGCTGAAAGGGCAGGTGGTACAAGAGGTGCCTGCTAAGGCTGGGACAGAGCCCTGTGCCAGGCGGGAGGAGATAGAGGAGAGGTGGGTCGTGGAGGTGAAAGAAGTGAGGGTCCCAGGAGTCCCTTCTTCTGCAGAGGAGTTACTGACAACCTGTGAGGGAATGGAGGCAGCAGCCAGGCTGCACTGTTTGAGGTATAAAAGGACAAGGATGTGTGGACAAGAGTAGACAAACAGACTTCGATTTTGGTGATACAGTATGGAGAAAGAACCAGAATCTGCCCCCTTCCGTCGCCACTGTTATCATTCAAACCCCCATCACCTCTTGTCTGAATAGCTGTAGTAGCCTCCTAACTCATCTCCCTGCTTTGTCCCTGCCCCCGATGGTCATCTGTCCCTGCCCCCGATGGTCACGGCGATTATGCTGAAACTTAATTCAGATCAAGTTACACTCTGCCCAGACCCAGCAAAGGCTTCTCTTCTCAGAAGAGGATCAAGTCTTTGTCGTGGCCTAGGAGACCCTACGGGATCAAGTCCCTGCTCCCCCAACCCCTTTCACTCTCCTCACTCTGCCCCAGCTATGGTCAGCTCCTTGAGTTCTTCTAACATTCTCAGCTTGCCCCAAAGTCTGCACCAGTCAGACCCTCTTCCTGGAATGCTCTTCTACCATGGATGCCCCGACTACCTCCCTTGGGCTCTGCTCAAAGGTCCCCTCTCAATAAGATCATCCCTGGCCAGGCCGCCAGTGCCTTATTCCCCTACCCTACTTTACCTTCATCACAGCCCTTAACATCACCTGACTTTTTGTGTATTTTGTGTTATTTATTTATGTTTGTTGTTTCTCTACTCCTTGGAGAGTAGATGCTTGGCTTTATTCATAGTTTATCTGCTTGGCTGGTCTTGCAGATGAATGGTGGCCCTGGGGACAAGAGGAGCTATACAGACCTGATTTCCCATGCCAAAAATTATGATATGTTGTCTAGTGATGATTCAGGATATGCATTTTTTTGTTTGTCTGTGTATTTACCTTTCTGTTTCACCAAGAGATTTAAGGCAGCTTACAAAGATGCATAAAATTTAGCAAGATGACATAAATTAGAAGCAGGTGAGAAAGAAGAAAAAAAAAACACATGTAAAAGCAGGGTAAAGCCATAAAATGGAGCCAAGGATGGGACTAATACAAAATAAACATACTATAAACTTTGATCCATTTGCAAGGGGTGGGCCACAGATCTGGCTCTCAAACTTCTAGCAGCCAGTGCCAAGATGAAACACGATCAGCTGCGCAGTTCCCAGGATCCTCCAGATGAAAGCCGTCCTCTTGCCGAAGAGAAACACCAGCATTCCTGATGTCCCAGAGAACAGAAAGCAATGTCTCCTCACCCCCTCCCTCAGCCCCACCCCCACCCCGTCCCCCAAGAGGACAAGACAATGAGCGAAGCACTCAGGGGCATCTTTGCAGCAGGCACAGCCGTGAGCTCTGTTCCTTCCGTTCCACAGGCGGCTTAGAGGAGTCTGCCTACTGTGGCATGCAGGTAGTTGGGGGGTGGGGCGTGAGGTTCCATACTCCTCGGGTGTCTGATGATCTGATTGTGTCCAGAGGAGATGCTAGAGCAAATGGGAGGGGGCGGGGGATCATCAGCAGATTCCTCAATAATGCTTTGAAAGATAATGTCTCCAGGCCAGGTTCCGGCAGACGGCGGGGGATCTAGTGACTGGCACCTTGACAGAAGCTAATGAGGGACTCAGTGAAATATACTGCAAATGACAAGCCTGGGAAAATGTTAAAGCAGAGCCAGGCAGACATCAACCCACTTTTATTTTTTGAAAGTGTCAGTAAAGCCTCCTGGGATGCCTAGCTTTGAGCAGTCTCCTTCCTGCTATACCTTCCAAGATAAACCGTTTGTGAAATGAAACCCAAGGTAGCCGCGAGGAGACCGGTGTATGATGATTCACTGCTGTTCAAAGCCAAGGGACAGCTACCAAAAATAATGACTTTGCTGACAGAGTATTTAAATCTTTCTTTCTAGATAGCAGGGTCACCTGTCTCCTGGGCCCAAATGCTGAAATGAAGCTGCCCCCCAAAATCTAGACTGCGATTGATGGGCTTATGGGAAGCAGAGCAGAGATGGGGTGGCCCCTCCCCAACCCCATGCCGCACCCCTGATAAGGATCCCAGTCCCCTCCCTCCTTCCCCTAGGTGTTGAAAGGCTCAGAGATAAGGAAGTGCCCCTCCTCTGCATTCCTTGGAAGGAAGGCACTAGGCAAATAAGAACCAAGGCCTGGGCGAAGAGAGCACCTGGAAGACCTGAATTGTAAGATGGGCTCCAGGCCGGCCAGCCCCTGCACACCCCTCAGGGCCCCAGATGCTGAGAACTAGGCTCTCAGTCCCATGACTGGGCCAAAGAAATGTGGTGGTCATCCTGGATATCGTCTCCAATTTTTTTCTCGACATGGATTAAAACATCCTGTCAAATTCACATTCAGTGACCAAAGTCTAGTGCATCTAGAGCCCTAAGAAATCCCCCATAGCCACCAGCTTTCTGGCCATGCCAGAGCCACCTGTCAATCTCTAACCATCCCCCTCTCCAACTCCTTGTGCATGTCTTTCCTCCCAGCTGGCTCTGCAGAATCACCCCCTATGGAGACTCAGCCTGCCGCCTCTCACTGTACCCTCCAGCTCCCTGGGTCCTCTGGGCTTTGACCTGGCTGCACTCATTCTACTCTCTCCCTGGCTCTTTGAGGTTAGTCATAATAGTCCCTCATGTTAGCAGGGCAGAAGATCTCCTTAGATCTGCCCCACAACCAGGAGGTAGGAGATTGGGAGATAATTGTCATCTCAATTTTACAAATAATGAATCAGGTGCAGAATCCCATGTTTTCCCACAGCCAGGCCACAAGTCAATGTTCTGGTGGGAAGCAGAACTCAAAACTCTAGGCTCCCTGACTGGACACTCCTCACACCCACCCTTCTCCAAAACCAACTACCTTATCAGAACAGGTCAGCCTTGTCAAAGGACAATGGGAGCCCACAGTGGACAAGTGTGTGTAAGGCAGGCGTGAGGCAAGGGGTAGGGGGTTCTCTGGAACACTATTACCTCCAGATCTTCTATTCACTTCTTAGCACCAGGGAATGACCCAACCAGAGGCAACCCAAGAATTTCCGCATTGAAACCTTTCACTTCACAGATGGGGAAGTTGAAGCTCAGAGAGAGGGAGGGGGCACAAGCTCAGAGATCCTACATAGTGCGCCCACTCCATGATCAGACCTGGGCAAATTTCAGGACTTAGTCGGGATTGGGGATGATTGAGCACCCATTGGTAGTGGTTGAAGGGTCAGATTCTCACTTAGCCACACACATATTTCACTCTCGATCTCCTATACGTCTAAGGAACTCTCTATGAGTCCTAGCCACTAGGTCAGTGGTTCTCAACCTTCTGGCGCTTTAAATACAGTTCCTCATGTTGTGACCCAACCATAAAATTATTTTCATTCCTACTTCATAACTGTAATGTTGCCACTGTTATGAATCGTCATGTAAATATCTGATGTGCAGGATGGTCTTAGGCAACCCCTGTGAAAGGGTCGTTCGACCGCCAAAGGGGTCTCGACCCATAGGTTGAGAACCGCTGCACTAGGTCTTCTGGAAGGAGCATGAGTTGGGCAGGAGCAGTTCCTTCTTCCAGCCCCAGTTGATAGCTGACCATGTAGGTGGCCTCGAGCCTTTTCTTTAAGCTTTGAGAGCCTGTTCTCAGCTTTCACCATAAAGGAGGTGACATGAATGAGTCCCGGGTCTTTCTGGCCTCAATATTCATTCTAGGATCCCAGGACTTCCTTCAAGAAAGTAGGAGAGATACTCTTCCTTGGAGAGAGAAGATGTGGCTAAGTGAGGTGGGACACCGTGGAGGGTCAGAACACACAGGGATAGGTGTTGGGTTGTGGTGGGAGGTGGGGGCAGGACAGCTGCCCTGAGATAGCAGGAGGAGGCCAGACACTGAGGAGGAAACCGAACAGGACCCCTGGGCCTAGCAAAAGACCGAGAGAAGGTCAAGGCCCTTTTGGGACTCTGTGAGGCTGCAGCCCCGCCCAAGGCCCTGTCCTAACATGTCTAGCCCCTTCTCCCTCCAGATGCAAAAGCCGAGGCCTACTTTTACCTTTAATCAACCTAGAATGGTTCTCACTCAACATTTTTACAGGGTCTCATTGCCACTCAATCTCCCTCTGCAATTGGGATTAGGATCCCCAATGTGTAGTCAAGAAAACTCACGCCTCTCCTTGGCTTGTTTGGCTGAGTGGATAGAGCGTCGGCCTGTGGACTGAAGGGTCCTGGATTCGATTCCAGTCAAGGGCACATGCCCAGGTTGTGGGCTCAATCCCTGGTGGGGGCATGCAGGAGCCAGCTAATCGTTAATTTTCTCTCATCATTGATGTTTCTATCTCTCTCTCTCTCCCTCTCCCTTCCTCTCTGAAATCAATAAAAATATAATAAAAAAATTGAAATTAAAAGAAAAGAAAAGAAAACTGAGGCCAGAAAAGTGAGGTCAAGACCAAACTTTTATGGGCTTGAGAAGGGCAGAGCCTGGACCAGCGCTCTCCCCCTAGGTGGGCTTTGGCCCCAACACAGTCCACTTCATGACCGGATTCCTGTCTCTGAACTGATGAAAAACTCCATGTTCAGAATCTAAGACCACTTTCAGTTGAAAATCAGGAGTGTCCTGTCTCAAATATTTGTGTTCAATACAAAACTCACCTATACGCTAATCTTCATATTCATGTCAGTCATCAAGCAATCATTTGTTGAGTCTTTTGTGTGCCAGGCACTGCGCTACACTGTAGTTTCACAGTTTGTTTAGGGCACAGGCTTTGAAACAATCTTGCACAGTCTTATTATGGTGCATTGAGTACTGCTGGAATGTCTGGGGGTGCTCTGCTTGCACCCCAAAGCCCTGTGGAAAGCGGCGTCCTCAGTCATCTCTAGCAGGGTGAGGAGTGGAGACTGTGGGAGCCTTGGAGGAGGAGGGAGAAAGAGCCTGAGAGAGTTGTAAAAATAAGGAGGTAATCTCTGGAGAAGTTCCTCTCCATCATTAAAGAGGATCTTAATTAAGGTCCCTGAAATAGATCCTGAGAACAAGCAGCAGCTGTGGGAACTAGATCTGGCCGGGATAGCTAGCCGCCCAGAGGTGCTGGGTGTTAGCTGGCCGGCTCCTCACCTGTCATTAAGGAGTGGGAAATCGCCCCACATCAAAGCCAGCCAGGAAGGAATGTGACAAATGCCATTCAGCCTAAAAACAGTGATGAAAATGAATGCCAGAGTCTGCCAACCATTGTGTGCGAAAACTCCTGGGGCAGAAGAAGGACAATCCCCAGGGAGAGAGGCAAGGTGTGTCCAGCCAGGAAACAAGGATGCCTGGATCTGGGAACAAGTCTTCCCTTAGCTGCCGCAGTCAAGACCAGGACACACCTCTCCTGACCTTTGACCTTCAGGTTACAAGGGGCTGAGGGCCCAGAGGATCCTGGGAAAGAGAGAAGCAGTTGGGTCACCCCTTTCTGTCCACTGTCCCACCACCCTGCCCAATGACCAAACATGTTCCTTCACTCGCTGAGGCTGCCTGCCAAGCCAGAGCCTTAGCAGGAGAGAGGCAGGGGCCAGAGGACACCCCTGGCTGGGCTCAGCCACCTTTGAGGTTAACACTGGGTTCCAGTCATGTCCTGTCTTGGACCCCCCCGAATTCCTTTTCTGGGAGGCAGATATTTCTCTTTTTATAATTTATGATGCAAATAATCCCAGAGGTTAAAAAATTAACCTCTGAGCCAGGGGTGCTTCATTACAGCACAATCCAGAATGTGGGGGGATGGCAGCAGGTTGGCGTTACAAGGTCAGGTTATGGCTGACAATGGCAGGAGTTTGGAAGCAGATACCTGGGAGTCAGCTGGCTGGTCACTTGCCCTGAAGATGTGCCAACGCGGTCTTAAGCGGGGATGTGGTGGCTGCACACTCTTTGTGCCAAAGCTGGGTCTACACACACACACATCTGGTTGTTGTGGGGCAACTCCCGACCCAGGCACTTTTGTGAGCCTGCCTTATGCAGAAAGGAGACAAACAGCAGACAGAGGTCAAGAGACCGAAGTGGAGCAAAGAGAGACCCAAAGCGAATCAGGGAGACAGGGCGGTCACGCATCAGGCGCAGAGCAGTCTTCCCTGAGACGCTGGTGTTTCCCAAGCAGCTTTCTCTCACACTTAACCTCCAATGCAGCACTGACGGAGGCCTGCCTGTCCTCTCCGGTGCCAGCCTTTCGCTTTGAATCCTGTAAGCACCCAAAGCCAGTTCACAGCGAGTCCAAAAGCAGGGTGGCCAGGGCTCCACCGCAGTCTTACA